AATCATATGTATTCTGAAAGTAGACACTTCAGGCTATCTTTGTATGTGCTTATCTCAAAATCCGAGAATCGTCATTTCTGAGGGGGGCCCCTTAGAACTATCAAAGTATTAATTTATTTTTTATTATCCAAAAGTATACACATTGGATCTACTTATGTTCAATATATTACTCACTTGAAGACTAATCAGTAGATATTTCTTATGCTTCTAGAACTCTTCCTTTTCTCGGTTTTTTTTCTTTCCCTTTACTCTAACGTACGATAAAAATGTCTTTCCTGAGTGGACAAGGTTTCGATCCTACTTCTATTCGTTTTACTAATTCCAGACCTGGTAGGAACGCATCAATCATTGCAATTTTTCGTGCCAACAGAATTAACCAGAACATGGTGGGAGCGTTATAAAATGGATTAAAGGTTCCAGGACAGATGATATATCTATAAATTAATTACTTAAAACAATATTGTTAAATTTTCGACTTAACAGAGTTACCGAGCAGCTAAAAATGAATTCTAAAATTTTTAAGATAGTCCATCTTGTAGCCTGTGAAATTCTCTATCAAATGAGGTATTGCTTGAATTTTTTCGTTGAGTCATTATTTTACAAATGGAACTTTATGCTATTAGAGTAGGCTAAATTAACGTTAATGAGTACTAATTCAATAACAGACAGAAAAGAACAAAAATTTTTGCATATATTCTCGTAGAAAATATTCTCCATACATTTCTCTATCAATCTAGGCAAGAATCAAGTTTTAATGATGAGTGGAGAATGGATAAGAATTTTCTCAATAATAGTCCCTTGTTCAAAAATTTAACAATATTTTTTTAAGTAATTAATTTTTTTCTCCGCCACATAATGTCAGTAAGCCGAAAAAACTTCAAGACATATGCTTCGAAGTGTTCTTTACAAACTGGAAATGTTAGAGCAAAATCGAAATGTGCCCCCCCCCTTCCTTAAAACTGAGCGATAGTTTCCATTTCACGTAAGCCTATCGATCGTGAAGTGCGTTTCTAATATACGTAGAATCTTTTCAAAAATAGATACAAAATACGAACAAAATAGAAATGTTATTCTAAAGTTTGTTTGTCTACTTTTCCACTTTGGATTTATCTTCTTCGGTTAAATTTTTATCTTTTTTAATATCACCAAGTCGAATATGAACCATATCATCATTCATTATTTCATTTGCTAAATCAGATTGTTGGCGTGTAACTGAGTGATCCGATACTTTATTAGAGTGTTCGTTTGTTTGAACAGTTTCCGTTTTAGATTTTGAATTATCCATGACTAGAAAAAACACAAAGAATTCACTCTGTTGGAATAAAGAATGGCATAAGTCTTACTTAACTGATTGATAAATAATAATTATATATTTTGTTGACTTTTTTACGCACGTGACGATAATAAAAATTTACACAGATATTTTCTTTATTGATGCATATCGCACGAAATGAGTGAGTAGATATAAGAACGAAAGAAAAAAACCTACATTCTTATCATTTGCCTTTCTTTTTATAACTCATTGAGTAATATATCTTCAAATAACTAATAGAACATGATGTTAGTTTAACCTTGATCTTGTGATAGTTAGTTTATAAAATATGTTTTTTTATTTACGTATCGGTTAATACATTATTATACTTCACTTCTAAGGTTCTGCTACAGAGTGATATTTTGAAACTGAAGTCATAAAACTTTTGAAAACTTCAACAATCAAAAAAAGGACTAAAATATTGTAGACCCTGTCTTTTTTAAAACTCGTTCATCTTAAACAACAATGAATGTGTCCAATCTTTGTGGCTGTGTGAAATCTAATGAATAAATAAATCCTGGGCGAATAGGAGTACGTAGTCATAATGCCAGTGCCACGAGTGACGTAACACGATGTAATCATGTGTGTTTCAATGTTTTCATCCCATTTCTCTAATACTCAATGTTTCTCTATGAAATTGAAAGACTAGGTTGCCACCATACACCGTAAAAAGTAAAGTGTGCTTTTTTCTTCCGAGCTAATGCATTAGATGAAAAATATAATTTCAGAATCATGATCACCATCTTCGAAAGTATATATGCTGTCATTTCCAGCAGAAATGGATGAGAAAAAAGTGAAAAAAAAACATTTTCATATGCTAGATTTGAACAATCGATAGATGAATCTGAAGCATTTCCAGCACAGATAGTTTAGACAAGTAGACTATATCAGATAGATCTTGATTAGGTTATGAATTTCTAGATTTTATTCAAAAATAGGAAAATATAGGATACTTCAGCTAATAATAGGTTTTTGGAACTTTTTTGAAAAACAAATGTTGCCACGAGATTCAGCATAGTCGACAACCTAT